TAATTCTTTCACAATGACCATCCCATCGCCTTTCTTATCTAAACTTCCTGTTTATTCATGTTATTTTACGTTTTTCTTAATCCCTGTTTACACCACCATATTGTCGTACCCGAACTTAGTATTTATTTTGTCATTTTACTATTTCTATATGTTTAACCATTAACTGCATAAACAATTATTTATCACATTAGTTTTTATTCAAGCATCCGGTCTATTTTGTTATTTCTACATTTCTAACCCCAAATTGCACAATGTCAATCTTCTTAGTTATTATGATACTACTTTGTTTGAGTTTTATCCATCCTCCAGATTATTATGGCATTCTCATTCCTCATTTTAATTTTTATTAATTTGATCCTAAACCAGAAATTATTCTGGAACTTTCCCATCTATTTGATAAAACTACACGAATGTACAGCCCAGATCCTTTAACTGACAAAGCCAGTTTCTAATTGAGTTTGTGGGTTTGTATGCCACTTTTATTACTGCCAGCATTGTTGAGAATTATGTGTAGGGTATCCGAGGTTCCCCTTACTGTGGGTGTTGTCTTGCGCACTTTTGAAATGCATGTGGCTTTGTCGGTTAAAGGGTCAATACTGATTAACCTTTAAAACAAAACAATTTAGTTTATCTAATACGCTGCCTGCAATGAATGTCAGGTTAAATACATGGGTCAAAGTAATAGAACAGGTGCAGTCAGAGTAGTTCAGCAAAACAACCTAGCAAAATCCAGATTAGTTGACCCGAATAAGATAAGAAATCTAGAGAATAATACAGCTGTACAACTCACTACTTGCAATGACACACATCACGACCATGTAATCGGATGGGATAAGATGACGTTTATCAATCTAATGTCGCATGGTTGAGAGGGTGGGATTGATAACGGAACCTTTGTTTATCGAATCAACTGAAAACACGTGCAAGAGGAATGATTCAACACCTTTCCAGTCGGAGATTTGGAAAATTCGACTACCTGCACGACAAATAGGAGAGAATGAAGAAAACTATAAAACTGAAATTTCGGAATTGTGTGAATAAAATTGATATGATTATGAAAAATAAATGAATTGTGTTCCAAAAAACTGTGTTATCAAGTAAGTAATACTGTTTCCCTGTGTGTTTTTTTTTTATTTTACGCATCACGCAATGAGTTGTTTTAATAATCATTCCATTATTCGACCGAATTTCTTTCGGAAGAATTTAACGATACTAATGCAGATACAGTTTATATTGTGGTGACTTTGTGTCTTCGAAATTGACTTTGACGGCATACTTAGAACTGAAGACAAGTGAAATATCAGAAATAAATTATTTTCTGTGTATTATCAAACATTTGGCTGCATATAACACGCCTCTTTCAAGCTCTCACCTCCTTCAGCATTCAGCCAAATAGCCATTTCCAGTTGATGTTCACTTCGGGAGATGGCTCAGTGGATAACATCACTCAATGGTCTACTGAGTGTTGGTTCAGTGAATATCCATTTAAATTGGAATACTTTTGGTAGCTGGTTGCTGGACACCTGGTTCCAATAGATACCTATCGATCACCTTTTCGCAACGACCACCTGATCCTCAGCACAGTGTCACAGAATACAGTTGTTAACGACACACTATGAAAGTCTATGATTCATATGACGGAATGCAATGATTTGACATTCGTGTTGAGATCTGAAATCGTGTTGTTGATGTTGATTGTAGAGTGAATTAAATTACTTCTAAAGTAGATCACATGCGGTAAACTGGGTCATTCATTATTCATTCTGGCCGATTGTTTTATAGATGTATTAAAATCAGATCATAATCAAAAGAGTGAGACACATTCCGCGACGTCCACCTATCCCAGTTAACGAAATGACATAATCATTTGGACAAGAACTTCCAAAAGTGCTGACTGACAGTTTGATCAATGTTACGGAATGGATCAACACACACATAGCCTGATATTTCATGCAAACTTGTACTCATATATATGCGTCAGTTAAATACAATACAAATCATCATCAATCTCAGCGTAACTTGTGAATCACTGAACATCATTCATACCCATCTTTTGAATCCTCATTTGATTTAATTTTCACACCTTTCTACCAGAATTGAATTCATCATGAATTTCACTAGCCACATTACATATTTACGCGCTTAACATACTCAAGTGCATAACACAAGTCCATGCACAGATTTGGTGATCGCGATAAATAGTGAAATGCATTACTGTGTTTTATTTGTCGATTTTATCAAAAATATGAGGTGAGGATAATTCCTCTTCTCGCGTTTGACTCTGCCAATTGAAACGGATGTCAGTCTGACGCACTATCCATTTTTGATACAATTTCAGCCACGCTCCACTGAACAATGTTTCCTCATTTGATTCATTTGCTTCTTTGGGATTCAGCGAATTGCACATTTCAATATTTTAAATGTTACCATAATAAAATTGAGCACAACACATTTAAGCAAACAATACTGTTTTTAATTATTACTCATTATTACTTATGTCCCACCACCACATCTCAGCAAAATGATGACTGGATGAAAGTCTTTAAAACTCCTACTACTTATTGATGAGGATGTTACGTCAAATGGATTGACTTACTGTTGTTCTTTTTAATCATTTTCGAGTCAGTCACTCAACATTCTGTCTGTTTTCAAAGTGTTCATGTCAGAGCTATCCATTTCCTTACAATACAATTACAAACACTCACACATACATCCACGCGCTTGATGTATGCAAACACCACATAGGTTGACGCAAAATATCACAGAGTAATACTGAGAAATGGTCTCATCAAATCAAGGTGAATGTTCAACACAAATCAAGCATGTAGTATGTCTCGCTGCCATTTCACTCCGACAGCAACTGATGAGCTACACATTTTACTAAGTGACAATATATGCGTGAGACTCAGGATTTATGAGCAAGGCAACCATTAGAGCACAGGTGACTGCTTATGTTTACCTCCTTGTTGATAGGCGACTTGTAATTTGCTAGTAATGCTTGGATTGGTTTGTTGTGCATGATACCGATTCGGCTGAATATTTCTCGGTAAAATCAAGTTTCTCAATAATTCCACTGTTTCTTTGGTCACCGTGTATGTTTGGAAAGTCAGCATATAGTTTGGTGAGAGCTGGCTGCTAGCCAAAAGTGATAGACAATAATTTACGTCAGTGTGTACATCTTCAATATTGGTCATGAGAAAAATAAGAACAATGACTGACTCAACAACCAATCATAGCAGACTTTGCGTAGGCGGACAAATTTGCAGAGAGATAATCTGAATTTCAAGAAACAACTACAAAGAAATGAAAGATTAAAGTTCATCGCAAAACCACAAACCAGATGGCTGTATTTGTTTGCTTACAATAATCCATTGCACATGAAAATCTATAAATGTCTGTTGATCCCGTAAATAAACGATCTGCTGCCTGCCCCTTGTCTGCTGTTGTTACAATAGTATATGGGTTTCTGCGTGTCAATTTCCTCAACTGAGATCTAATTTGTCGCCAGTATCTTGATTCGGCAGTTGTTTGTGTGTGTCTGTTTTTGATCGCATGAGTGAATACTTGATTGGTCGTAGCCGCTTGCTTTGGTTGGAGTGTATGAGCTCGTTAGCATGCTTCCATATGCTGATTAGAATGTCTGTATATACTCTGTGACATTCGTGAGTGACTTCAATTATCGTGTGACGAATATTCTGTTATATAACGCAGATTATTGTTCAATTAGTTCGTGTGTATTTCTTATCAGTCAGCAGTGCGCACGATTCCCTCCCTTCAACTCAAAGTCAATGATTCTGATATTTAAACACTTGGAATATGTAGTTCATATATGCTTACCACTTGACTGACATGTAAATATTATCTTGTTCGGACATACCAACTCAATTCGAACGAGATCGTGGCATCCAACTGCTCGCATTGAGTCAGTTGAAGGTAAGTCACTTTGTTTCCTTATTGACACACAGTGAGTTTCTTGTCAAGTAGTAGGTTAGTGTGGTAGTCTAATTCAAAAAATAATATCGGAGACTCGAGAATAGCGTCAGTACAATCTACTATAGTCAGAAAGTCTTACCAAGAAAATACTCAGCTACAGAGCCCAACATAGTGACTAAAGCAAACAAACAAGCAGTAAGAAAGAAGGAAAATACTGAACACGGTATTTGGATGAGACGCTAAGTGCAGAGATAGACAGTGACACAATGTAATTGCATATGAAATACTGAGTTGAATGAAGACTACACTTCTCCTAGCAATAAAGCTATTGTCAGAAAGAATGGAAGAATAGATGAAGACATGATGAGGGAAGACAGGTTCGAAATGACTGATTCGATCAGAACAAGAATAATGGTGGATGAAGTGAATGTGGGTGTAACGGAGTGTAGTTGCAATTAAGTGAATATGAAAAGTGGGAGAGGAGCTGGATAGACAACAAACTTCGCTAAATTGAGAAAGAAGAGGATGTCTGTGGATTGAGTTCATCACTACACTCTAACAGATTTTCGGAATGCCCTTGCGAAGTTTGAGAATGAAATTTAAAGGTAATTTTAATCCTCATGAGAAACAACTATTATTCTAGCGTAGTTAAACTAGCGAAAAATGAAATAGTATATACAACGAATAGACGTGAGTAATGACTGTGAAAAAATATCTTAGTGTATTCTGTGACGTCGACCCAATCCTCCGCAGAATGGTAGCACTGAGTCTACAAGCTTGTCCATCAAAACCCTCCCATATCTGGAAATAGACAAGCCATCATTTTGAGCATAGCAGCAAAGAATGTTCTAACAAAATCAACGTCACAAGCGAAGACTAGATAATAAAATCAGACTGCTATTTACACTTGGAGTGATCCAGTCAATCACACAAAACACAACACTTCTAAACACAGATGATAATACATCGTAAGCAGGAACATCTGTACATTGCAACTAAGCAGTGTAGTCTCTACATAATCGACTAATGACAACGAAAAACAAAACAACGATACATAATGTGAATGGCATTTATTAGGCTTTTATTGAATATATAATGAAGGCAATATGACAATTCATTACTCTCCTCCACACAGTCGGCTGAATCTCCACACAACACACATCTACACCGTCGTATTATTATCCTTCCCAATGGCCGTCACGTTCACATTCTTCAACTGCTTAGCGTCTACACTCGCCTTCTCAGTTTCGTTGACCTTCTTCGCCTTCGCAGCTTTAGCGGCCTTCTTCGCCTGCTTCTTCCGCTCCTTCTTCGCCTGCTTTTTCTGCTCTTTCTGTTTCTTCTTCTGCTGCTTCTTCTCCTTCTTCTTGTCATCCTTGTCATCATCATCGTCCTTCTCATCCTTATCATCATCGTCCTTGTCATCGTCATCATCAGAATCGTCCTTCTTGTCTTTCACGCTCTTCTTACCCTTCCCTTCTTTTGACTTGCTCTTATCCTTCACCAGGGTTGCGCTCGTTTGATGCGATGTCCCATTCACAGACTTCACGCTTACAATGCCTTTCACCTTCTCGTCAACCTTCTCTGCTTTCGCCTTCACGGTATCATTCTCTCCCGTGGCGTTCGTCTTCGCCGGAGACGTCTCAGCAGTTTTGTTTGCGTCTGGGGATTTCGCGGAAACTGGAAATGGAGAGAGAAACTTCACGATAAATACACGTTTGTGAATGCTATATACAATGTGATGAATATATAAGTTGATTTAGGAGTAAAATGAGGACCTCAGGATAATGAATGCCTCTCAACTGAGTTTGCCATATACTCACTGGCGCTGTACACCTTTTGCAGGTTATGCTAATAGTTGGTTCATTGTGAACAACTCTTGGCAGAAACGACTTTTTAGTGACTGAATAGCCCCCCTATATAATCGGAAATTATATCTTGTTCTACATGAAACATTGTTCGGCATTTAGAATTATCCCTGACCTAATGAACCGTGAATACGCCATCACTGGGGAACTTCACATTCCGAAAAATGGAGTTTGTAAGCAGTTATGTCGCGCTCTCCCTCAGTAAATCAAACAATAACTTGACGAATCCATTATCGGATTTTCGAAACAGTTTTGACATGTGAGTATTTTGATTGAACACTAGTAACTTGAGTGTCATTTTCAATCAAAATATCCACTACATCCCTACCAGTGGTCAATCGCGAGTCCGAATAGCTCAGCGGTAACGTCTCTGACTGCAGAACTGGCTGATGTGGGTTCGAATCTTAGAAAGGACATGCGTTCCTTCAAGGTTGCAGATACGCCTTGCTGACGGGTGATAACTAGCACGAAACCTAGGTTCATGGCTTCCTGTGAACTACCTTCAACTATCTTATATTGACATGTGAGTAAGGCATCACTCAAGCAAATTTGGTGTATCATAATGTGAAGAATACTCCCTGTCAAAAATACAAGTGAATTGAAACTCGTTAGCGATATGATGAAAATATTTTCAATGGAGATGATTTCAGCGTCTGATCCTACTCGGAACTATGGTTGAGTTATGTATGCGTGTGCAATAATAAACTTACAAACAAGAAGGGGTGTTATCTGTGTCACTTTACTGATTTTATGTTCAAATGTTGACATCTCTTCTTCGAAGCCAACTCCTCATCATTTGAATTAGACAAGGCTAAAGTTGTGATACATGAAGTGGATATCACCTTCATCACTTGATTTTTGCTCTTTTTCAAAGTCGAGTTACAATAGTTGATATACCGCAACCCTGACAGATAAATACAAGGAATGAGTGTGAAGAGCAATGGGAAGTGATTCAACCATACCGGTCAGGTTCATCAGTGTAACGCATTTGTCAAACATCAACTTGAAGCACTACTCCTCCGAGGTGATATTCGTCTCCATGCAGAATAAGCGACGCCGACCTATATTCATCAGTGGAGTCATGAGAATTGAGTTAGAAGTCAGAGTCATCAAAAGCGCTCATCATTTAAGACATGACGACAGTGCCCACTGAAACATGAAGTCTATTCTTTTCGAACAAACATTCATTTTAAAATGCAGAAACTAGTATTTGATTGGTCATCAAACGCACGCTTGCACGAAACATGCTTACATTGATATGTGTCGTGGCGAAAATTATTCCTGCAGTATTATCAGATCACTTTGCAGTTAGAACGCGATGGGAGTGAGATGAGTGAACAGATGTGAGTCCGGTCTCCACAGTTTCATTATCATGTTTCGACTCCAATGGGATGTGAGTAATGAGGGAAATGACACGAAAATGAACAAAACAATCATCCGTATGACTCACCTTTCTCATCAACAGGTGGTGGAACTTTCTCAGCTTTCGTAGCCAAATTCATTTCGATGAGATGTGGCAGAAGAACACAAGCCATCATGATGCAGAATATCGAAAATCGCGCCATTCTCGCAAGTCTGAAAATGCAAAAGAATTAGATGAAGGAACATTTCGAATTTGAGTCTAGAGAAAATGGTTGTAAAACGTTGAATGGTAAACAACTTAAGACGGGATTGATGAATACATAAGTGAATACGGATAACACTGCTACACATTTCACCTCGATTCTCCATCACACAGTGGCGTTCGTCGCGATTAGCGAAATGCAGTACAGATATGCGATATGTGTGACTGTGTGAAACAGCATTCAGCTAATGTGTTCGGTAAGGTGGATGAAGAAGTGACTCGTTAGGCATGGATGTCAGAATGAAGCGTGAAATCCAACTGTTCAACTTACAAGTGGCTTTATGTCGATTACTGGTGAGTTGAATAGTGTTCTACTCATGCATGTCTTTATATATGCATATAAACGTGGGTTAAATGTCAAGTAACTAGTTCAGTGGTTGGTTTTGTCACATGAATCGATTCTGTCTGTCAGTAAGTGGATAGGGCTGTGTAGATCTTAAAATTTCAGGTCACTAATTGGGACTGATTGACCTGGATGTATTCTTCACTGAATAAAGTACAAGGAAAGTGGGTAATTAATCTACCCTGTCCACTCTATTACGTGTTTTGTACTGTGTAGATTTAAATTGTTGAGCATTCAACACCTTTTGGCGCTGACTTTAGCTTGAACTTTGTATTATTATTATTATTATATCCTTAAATTCCTAGAGAATCATAGGGCTTCAGCTGCGCGTCTCCATTGCCTTCTGTTTTCTGCCAACTTTTTCACCCCGCTCCAAGTCTGCCCACATGCTTTCATCTCCTCCTTGCATGACCTCCTCCAAGTCAACCTCGCACTGACGACCAACTCGCCGCTTCCCTTTCGGGTTCCACTCGAGGGTTTGTCTAGTGATGTCACGTGATGGTTTCTTCAGAGTATGACCAATCCACCTCCAATTCTTCCTGCCTATTTGTTTCACAATCGGTTCCTGGTTGGTTCGCTCATTTCCAGAGATCTTTGTTGCTGATCTTTTCTTGCCATCTGATCTTGAGTATTGAGCGAAGACAACTGGCAATGAAGGTCTGAAGTTTGTTTGAGATGCTCTTTATGACGCGCCAAGCCTCTGATCCGTAAGGTAAGTAGCACTGACTTCACATTGGAGCTGAAAATACGGATCTTATTTTCATTTTGATGCTGAGTGCTGTTGACCTCCACACAGACTTGAGGGTAGTGAAAGCCTGTCTTGCTTTTCCGATTCTGGCTTTGATGTCCTCGTCAGTTCCGTTCGCCTGTAGTTGAAACGATACTTCCCAAGTTGTTAAAGGAGGTTGGTTCTTTCAGGTTCCTCCCATTTATACTGGCTGATTGTTGTCTGTTGTTGTTGCTGCTGTTGTTGTTGGCCAGGAATCTTCATCACCTCTGTTTTATCTATGTTCACTTGAAGTCCTATCTTTGATGCTTCTTTTGCCAGCTTGTTGCTTTTCACTTGCATATCCTCCAGTTTGTGTGAAATCAGACATATATCATAACTGGCAAAGTCCAGATCCTCCAAGTTCTTTTTTATGTGAGTCCATTTTATGCCTGATTCCTCGTTGGTTGCCGCTGTCTGTCGCATTATCCAATCTACTGCAATCAGGAAGATCATTGGCGATAGTAGACAGCCAGCTTGTCTCACTCCCGTCCTCACTTCGAAGGCTTCCGTAAGTTTCCCGTTGTGGATTACTTGGCATGCAGCATTGTCGTATAACTGTTGGATGAGATGTATAATTGTCGATAGCACCTTGTAGTAGTAAAGTAGTTGAACTTTGTATGTTTGTTTAAATTCTTGATTGCGACATCGTCTACTTTGTGATCTGCTTATTTCTTCGTTGCTGCATCAAAACAACTAAATATAAGGTGTAATTAAGTAAACATTTCGGTGGGAATCAGTTTAAATTTACTTCTATGTTGACTGATATTTCTAGGTTTTTCCATTTTTTTTTCCAGTATTTCATCAACCGTCATTCGACAATGTCTAATATTATCTTTCCCTTAATCAGTTGTGTCTAGACACGAGTTGATTTTTTAATTTATTTTAGCATTTCTCGTCGATTGAATAGACCGAAGTGCTTGGTCTCAGGTTGACATGTCAACTTCTTGTACAGATGTTTCGACGATGTCTGGGTATGCAATTATAAGTTAATTGGTGGATGGTGACTAGCTTTGGAATCCAGAATGCGTATTTCTTCCTATTTTGGAGTCGTCATCTGGATCTACCTGAATGCCTCAGCGGGTGATGATGATTGCACCGAGGCTCGCACACAATGTCCATAGTCTCAAACGTCAAAGCTTTATCCACTAAACCAGTTGGGCCACTAAAGCCTACTATTTCGGCTCATTAGTAACACCATCACTCACTGAGGAATGCAAGTACGCCCAGATGACGAGTCCCAAAATAGGACGAAGTCACCACCCACAAATTAGCAAGTTGAAGTCTTTGTTTACTGCTGCAGTGCAAATGCGGCTGTCTGTAGTGTAATGCTGAATAATGTAGAATGATTATTTTATGCTAAATTGTTCTTCATATATTCATCTTACTGATACTTACCTTAATAAGCTCTAAAGTACGTTGTTGCATCTCATTCCACTGTATGCAGCAGGCATGATTGAGAATTATCCCATCCACAACCTGAGAAACTTTGAGTTAATTGCGGATGATGACATTTTAATGAAGGGTGTTTCAGTGGTTAATTTCCCCAGCGACAATGACAAAGGTAAGAGAATGTGAAGCGGAAGAAGAGATTAACGAAAAGTAAATTGCATGAATCATCAAGATGCTAAATCAGTTGTGATCACAGACTCACGCATACACATACAAAAACGTAGGGGTTAACAATATACTACTTTAAGCACGTATATCACACGGATTAGGGTTCACTTCTCATCCATTCGATGAGAACGAAAACATGCATGCAGGTGGCTGACTGTCATTCATTTATTATTTGTATATAGAAATTGCTTCATGCTTTCAATAATTCTACAATTCATACTCGTTGCTTCAGTTCACCACTCCCCAAGCTGTGACAGTTAGTTGATTCCTAACACAAAAGCCGATCTATTTGTTCTTCTTCACCTTGTCATCATTCATCACTCAAACACTTCTACCACTCTTATCTACATCGCGAAGAACACCGATAATGAGTTGGAGAAACATATTTTACTGCAAGAATATGTAAAGACATTTAGAACACAAATCAACCCATCTTTGGTTAAGTCTTTTATTTGTGATTACTCGTTATGCAAGTTTTATCGTGTTTCACTCTGAAAGGATATTCCCAGTGACTGAATGTCAGCTTTATACTGCTTCAGAATTCAATGGAAGTGGAATCGAGTGATCAGAATATGTAAAGCGCATGTTTAAGGTGCGTAAATACCAGAATTGGTGACAGTATTGTGAACAGAAGAAATGTAGTATACCTGTGTCTGAATAGGATATCGAATGACTCGTATCACTCAAAACTTTCATCCTACGTAATCACGATCAAGGAACGATTGTGATTAGTATCAAATATGAAATTTTCACACGGCTTAACAAAATCCAAGTCTAATGCATCACATTTGTCACACAGGTGCATGATTTTGACGTAGTTAGGTTCTCTGAGCTGAATGGTGCATTTGCGAATCTTTCATTGCCCTGCTGGGCAATACCATAAACTCATACTTCAATTTGAAGTAATGTGATGAAAGCTTCACGAATAAACCTTACAGGTCAATGAACACAACTACATCGAAAACAGTCCAAATTATGTATGATATCCTCTACACTATGGAATGGCAATAACAGAACTGATTCACGCGTGATGTGTGGAACAGTTTATGAATCTGTGATATAATCATCAAATTCATACGCACAGACATTCTGACACACATATGGATATTATTGTTATTGTTCCCTTGGGTTCCTAGTGGAACATAGGGCTTCAACTGCACGTCTCCACTTGCCACTTCTGTCTTCCGCCGTACTTTTCACCTGCATCCATGCTAGCCCATACTCTTTCAACTCCTCAACCCTTCACACGATCTCCTCCACGTCACCCTTGCACTGACATCCCACTCGCCGCTTCCCTTTCGGGTTCCACTCGAGCAATGGACTGACCTGCGATGTCAACCAGCGGTCTCCTCAGCGAGTTTCCGATCCATCTCCACTTTCTCCCGTATATTTGTTGGGCGATTGGTTCTTGCTTTGTTTGTTCCAATAACTCCTTGTTGGTGATTCTTTCCGGCTCGGCCATCTGATCTTCAGTATGGAACGAAGACAATTGTTAATATAGGTCTGAAACCTTTTGGAAATATTCTTTCTGACCCTCCAAGTTTATGATCCTTATGGAAGAACTGACTGACTTGACGTTTGTATTGAAAATCCGACTGAATTTTGATGTTGTTGACGCTGAGTGACGAAGATTTCCAGATTGATTTGAGCTTGATGAATGTGTTTCTCGCCTTCCCAATACTCGCTCTTTTTGACATCCTCGTCCGCTCCGACTTTCCGCAGTTGAGACAATGCTCCCTAAATAACTGATGAATGAAGTAACCTCTTTCAAATCCCTCACGTTGATGGTGATTGACGCTGAATGTTGCTGTTGTTGTTGTTGTTGGCTGTTTATTTTCATAATCTCCGTCTTGTCTATGTTCACTTGGAGTCCTGTCATCTCTGGCAGCTTCTTCGACCAGTTTGTCTTTTTCGCTTGTAAGTCTTCGATTTTGTATGACATCAAACATAAATCATCCACGCGCGAAATACAGGTCTTCTGGGTTCTTCGCGTTGGTCCAGGATATATATCTGTCTTCTAGTTTCCCACTCGCTGTCTGACGCATAATCCAGTCAGTCCACCACAATTAGGAATATCATTCATTGGTGATAATAAGCACCCTTGTCTGACTCCTGTGTTTACTCCAAACGCCTCGCTGAGTTTTCCGTTGTGGATCACTTGACATATGTCGTTGTCGTACAGCTGTTGAATAAGGTTGATGAATATTTGGGATATGGCGTAGTACTCGAGTAGTTTCCAAATTACTTCACGGTCAACGCTCTCTGTCGAAGGCCTTCTCAAAGTCTATAAAGTTGAGGTAGATGTTTAATCTAGATTACTAGTTTTCTAACAGATCCCAAGACCGGATAAATTGCTACAGAAACTTCAACGCATAAATATATTGAAATACGCATATGTATACATGATAACGAACTCAAATAATAAAGTCGACTCAAGCTCTTTCAGTTAATCACCCATAAAATCGCACACCTATAAGCATACAACAGCAGAATTCACTCATCACCACATGTCATTTGACGGAGGCGAAGTGCATAAATCCCCAAATAATATGATGAATTACTTGA